ATTCTTCCTGTGATGGCAAAGCTGAATTTTCAGCAACCATTACTCCTGTCTTCATTGTCACATAATTCTTCAGAAATCAGTTTATTTGGTGCTCAATAAACATTTGTTCTTATTTTTAAACTTGAAAACAGTTGTGTTGTTTAATGTTTTTGTGAAAACCGTGATACCATTTTTTTTTTCAGGATGAATGATGAATAAAAAGTTAAAAAGAACCGCATTTTAAAGAAAAAAATAGAAATCTTTTGTAAAATTGTAATTGTCTTTGCTGTCACTTGATCAATTTAATGTAGGCCTAGGCCTATAATTTCAGACTTTTGAATGGGTAGTGTTTTGAGATTGATTCAGGTGGAAAGAGACAGTGTGTGAATGCTAAAATGTTTGATGCCTCATACCATTTTACTTATTTTAACTTATTTAACTTATATTTTTATTTTATTTATTTATTTTTTTGGACAGGAGGTATTTGGAAATTCAGTTTTACTTGTCTGAAAAAAATGTTGAGCATTGGACATTTATTCATGTAGGCCTAGGCTATGTCAATTTCTTACTGACAATTGTTTTTAAGGTGGTTTTGTTGTTTTAAAACTTTTGTGTTTAGTTCTTTCCAGAATGGCCATTCACAGCGTCCTCTGTGACACCGTCTGCCTTTTGTAGATGTGTTTGAAAAGTACTGCCATTTAGGCAGTGTGAAGCCACATACTGATGTTGTAGAAAGCTGCTGAACAGCACGGTTTTGAGTGCTCTGTGGCTTACTGTACAGATGGTGTGTATTTGAGTGATCTTGTAGGCTTTGGAGGGACATGCTGTGCTGTACATGGACAGATGTTGGTGAATTGGCTGATAGATTGACTGTTGACCTTGTGACAGTGAAGCAGGAGAACGAGGGATTGTTTTCTCTTAAGATATGATTGACAGCAGGCTGCAGGATCCAGGGAATCCAAACTTCTCAAACTCCTTTATTTTTCTACCGTTCTCATAATCTAACACATGGAATCCAGATGCTCTGCAGCTCCAGCCAACATTTAATTGGTCTCTCTGACTTGGCTAAAGATTCTGACGGTTTGAAGCCGCTCAAATTTTATTCACTCTTCCTTTCTCCTATAATACTTGTTGTCTTTTAATACTTGTAAATCAGTATATTGCTTGGCAGTTATTACTTAGTAATTGCCTGAGAATGTTCCTAAACAGATGCTCAAAAACGTAAAAAAAAAAAAAACACATTTACTGAATATGTACAAACAATTAACCACAAGCTTATTGTGATTACATAATCACTTGATTTACTGATCAATACTGATATGATCAGAGCATAGGCTATATATTTAATTTGCTACTGTGAAATTTCAATAAATTATTGCAATAATTGTAAATTTTTATTTGCCAAAGTATTTATAAAATAATAAAATATATAATCATCTAAAACTATATATATATATGGGTCAAAGACGAAAAGGGTGTTTCAAGCATCAAAAAAATAAAAGTACAATACAGCTTTAAGTTTTGTTTTTTCCCCATACATTATAATGTGTCCTGTTTAAGTTTACATTTTTCTGAACAAAAAATAATTATCATGCATTTTTTATTATGTTTGACAGAAGACATGCACTAAAATGTCATTCAGTGTAACAATATTTATATACCAAAAAAATCTTGTTAGGCATATTTAAAACATGAATCATTTGATGACATTAAAAGACTATATTTAAGCATCACAGTGCAGCCCTCAAATATCAATTAACTTTAATTTTTAAATCTTAGACTTTGATAATGTCCTTCAAACCACTATGTTTTCCAATTTGCCAGCAAGAAGTTTTTGTAAGGAAGTGAAAATCATTTCAAATATATTAAAACTTAGTATGATCATATATTCTTATTTGTATTTTAATAAGTACAGGTCAGAATAAGTATATTGTTTCATTTGACATAAATATATGTGTTACACTGAATGACCATGGTTTGTTACTCTGAATGACGATTTGCCAAAAAGAGAGATAACATTGCCATTGTTCCCATAACTGAAATATTTTTAGTATTAATCTGTGTCATTAAATTAGTTTTAATAATATTCCTGAGTAAATGACTGCAGAAACAGATGTTGAAATATAATAAGCATTTTCCTGATGCTCCCCTGCCATGCTTGCTTAGCTTGTCACTTCATTTCCAACTTGCTCGGCCTCAAAAATTCCATCTTGCAGCCACATTTATTAATACTTTCTGTTTGCAAACATAAATGACATTATCAGGATGAGTATTTGGGGTGGGCCTCAGTGATCTCTCTTGAACTACTGACATACTGTAGTGAGGGGGTCTCTCTGCCCAGAAATATTGGCAAGCTATTATACCAACAATTACAATCCTCTATACCCTTCTCTTTTCTTGGCTAAAGGCACGTTCCCACCAAGTACGGTAAGGATAAAGATAAAAAAAAAAAAAAAGTGGGGAAAAAAACCTTCTGTATAAAAGAATAGCAGATTCCACAGCACAACTAACGATAACTGCACAGAGAAACAATATTGTTGGAATCTCTTATATTGTTGGATTTTTTTTCCAGCTGATGAATGATAAAAGCATTGACAGCCATTTAGAATTCATTCAACTTTAAAGAGCTCCAGCATTTAAAGTGGCAGACAACAAATCTGCAGCACATGCTTAGTGAGGAGGCTCATCAGTGTGGAGGCTAACATAGTTACTGTTATAGTTATTTTATAGTTATTGTTCTTGGCGTGAACGGGCTTTAAGAGTGCCACCCAAGCTACTGGGCCCACACTTAGTTTATTAGCTTTTTGTCTTTTTACAGTGCCTAGTGACTCCCTCTGTTCATGGGTGTCTATAATTAATAAATAATCAAATTAAACAATAACAAAATGCATTAAAATATTAATATTTATTAAGTTTAACACACATTTGTCAATGCTAAACATTCCTAATTTATCTGTAATATCAATAAGATGCTAAAATTGTTATTTATACAGTGATACTGTCATTCAGGTAATGGATGACACTGTGGTGTAACAGAGAATTTAAATTACACTGCATGACAAAACCACTACCCTGAATGACCAAACTTCTACATCAGCTAATATTTCAGGCAATCAAATGGCCACCTATTTCAAACAGTGAACTTGACCAGTAAAGTTATTTCAGTTAAACTGCATTTTTGAGACAAAAGTCCCCTGTCCATTTAAATACTTTAAAAAAACAATAAGACATAGTCCTTTTAATATAACACAGCCAATACTTACTTGAAAATGCCAAGACAACAAATATATTTTTTAACTTGGTATTTTATATGTTTAGTTAAAGATGTAATGGTACAATCAAAGTCTGGACCATTACACTGAATGACAATTTTACACTTTGGAACATTATTTCCCCCATATTTTGAAATTTTATTGTCACAAACGTTATTTGAAATATGAAAGTAGACAATTTACTTGCATTTAAGATGTTTTTTTTGTGCATTTAAAATGATTTTTGTAAATGTAATTTGACGCGGACACCAAAATGGTGACGTCTCGTCTTTGACCCATATATACAGTGGGAACGGCAAGGGACCCCTTTCAAACAGTGTCGCGTTCCGAACGCTGTTTAAGCGACATACACCGTATTGCGGTATTTAAAAAATTAGTATCATAACAAAAATAAACACCGGTATTCGGTATGAACCGGTATACCGCCCAGCACTACTTTCAATACGATTTTTTCCAGCTGATGAACGATAAAAACATTGACAGCCAATCAGAATCAATCATGCTGTAATGAGCTCAAGAATTTAAAGCGGCAGACACGCGTGCGCTTAGAATAAACAGACAGTATCGTTCGCTGGTGTAGATGCTAATATCGTTATCTTTATAGTTATCGTTCTTGGTGTGAACGGGCCTTTAGAGTCTTAAAATGGCCAAATATTGGCCAATTTCTTGACTGTTAGGCAGAGAATCATCTTGTTTAACGGTCTAAAATATATTTGTGTCAAGTGGACTTCACCAGCCTTGCTGCTGTCCTTTAGTTAAGGACGGCCTAACACATTTTTCCACTCTCCATGGAGATGTTGGATGCTAGCGCAGATGCAATCTCATTATTCAGTTCAGCCAGACTGTTGGTGCCTCATGTAAGCGTCATGCAGTTCTTCGCTTCTCTCTTTGCTGCACTGTTGAGCAAAGCCACACGAGTCGTCACAGGCTACGCAGCAGGAAAGATCTCTCTGTATATTTATGTTAATGCACGTTATATTTACTCAGTCATGTCCCATTCCTCTGTGTTTGTCAGTGGGCTATGTAGTGTATGCATAAAAAATATTAAAGGCCTCAGGCACAAAATATTGTGCCAATTGTAGCCTTATGTGTATAGATGCACGCTTGCTGCCGTGTGAGGGAGGAGAGTGAAAGGAAGAAGATAAAGGATTGTGTGTCTTGGCTTGAGAAGATGCTATTAGTCATGCCAGTGCTGTCCCTTTGAATCCAGAATGCAAGGGGGACGGGGGGACATGTGCTCTGGCAAGGCAAGAAAAGGACGCAATATTCTCATTCCATCTCGGTCCTATCTTAATATTGGTTGCTTCGTCCGTCTTTCTTCTTATCTTCATGTGGCTTAGTAAGACTGTTATTTTGTTCCAGACCAGTCCAGTGGCCACAGATCTGCTATGCTTGACTTTGCATTGGTGTCCCTTGCCAGAAGGCTTTTTGGCTTTCTTGAGTGCCTCTACATAGATCATACAATTAATTTTTTTGGATGATTTGTGCTACAGAGATCGTCAGATTTGAGTTGTGGTTCAAATATGGTGACAGGTTATGATAGAGCATCACCTTTAAAGCAACATTCTGGTTATTTTCGAGATTTTTTTTTAAATTACCACAGTGGCAGATACGTTTTTCTGTTTGGTCGACTTTTACTTTTAAAATAAAAACAAAAGAAACTTTTATTTTGACAGTGTGCAGGACGTTTATTTTGACTGCGCTGAAAACATCAGTGATTGAGCGCACAGAGAGCTCCCATTCTTCGTCTTTGTTAGTTTACTGTCTCTGTATGGAATTCTAATAATAAATTATTAGAGGCGATCAAAAAAAAAAAACGGCAGTAAAAGGAGTTACTGTTTTGAATCAGTATGATGAATCCTTCACCGAATGATTCAGCGGTTACTGAGTCAACATAATGAATCTGACTTCCTGAACTGAAAATGATCATTAATTTTAGTTATATAAATCTCAAAATGGAGCATGTTTTGTTTACTTGCGTCATGAAACCATATCGGTGTCATTACTGACTGTCCTTTTGTCAATGTGTAGTTAGAGATACAGTGGTTGGTTTCGGGTTCTCCTGACCCCAATCAGATGTGTTTCTTAAAGACGCACCAAGATGTAACTTCCATCCTAATAGGTTGAGACAGAATGTGCGTGTTAGTGAGCATAAAGCCAAACTTTAAGCTCTCTGACCTCATTTACCACAGTGAAAAGATGTCATTTACAGCATCTCCGCCAGCCTTGCCCTTAACGCCTCTCTCTTTAGCGTCCTCTCTGTGATCTGTGATCAGCTGAAGATGAGATTAGTAAGAGATGACGCGTCTCCTCACACTGTCTCCTCATCTTCCCTTCATGCCAATCCACCAATCCCTGTGCTATTCCCCAGATTAGGATCATTGGCCTGTGAGTGGTGGTTTTAATGAGCTGTAATTGATTTGTAAGCACAGATCCACCAGACTGTGTCAGGCAGATTAAATAAAGCTTGTTTGAAGCCCCAGGTCTCTTTTTCCAGCAAGTGATCCTGGTGGTGGTGGGACAGAATTCCCAGCAGGAGCGATGTGGCTTTTAGGACAAGCAGAGTTCCAGCCTTCCCGCTGAGGATGTTTGCCTCCTTCCCCTTGGACAAGGCCTGTGTCTGGGAAGTCAGCCATCTTGGAACCAAGTGCAGGCTTTATTCATCTAAACACATTTAAGAGGAATGGAGGGGGGAGTGACATAAGCTGGTAGTGTTTGCTCTCCAACGGCTGTACATAGGGTCCAAAATTAACTTTTTGCCACACCTGCCATTGGCGAGTGAGTTGAGGAAATTTACTGGCCATGAATATTTCTTGAACTGTTTTTCCTTTTTAACAACAACAACAACAACAGTAGTAATAATAATAATAATTTGATACATTTTTATTATTATTATCATTATTATATAATGTAATGTTCAAAAGTTTGGGGCCAGTGAGATTTGTTTTTTAATGAAGAGTTTTATGTTCATCAAGGCTGCATTTATTTGATCAAAAATATTGTCAAAAACAGTAATATTGTGAATTATTAATACAATTTAAAATGACTTTGATATTTAAATATTTAATTTTTTTCTGTAATAGAAAAGCTGAATTTTCTCATGATCCATCAGAAATCTTTCTAATATGCTGATTTGGTGCTCAGAAACATTTCTTAATGTTATCATAATATTATGTTAAAAACTATTTTGCTGCTTGATATTTTTGTGGAAAGTGTCATACATATTTTTCAGTAGGCTATTTAAATTATATTTATTTGCATTTTTTTAAATAATAGATTTTTTGTAACATTATAAATGTATTTACTGTCATTTTTGATAAACTTAATGCATCCTTGATGAATGTCAATTTAAATCAATTTATAAAAAAAAAAATCAGACTCCAAACTTTGAACGGTAGTGTATTTCTATCCTTAAAAAATAAATAAACCAATTATATAGGCCTATATATTTATTTTATGATCCTCCACATGCGTGAGTGAATTAGTATGGAGTACGGAAGCAAATAAACTTATTGTAAAAATAAACACATTGTAAAGCTTTGCCCTTTGTTTTTCAGACACTGACTCCTGTCATTTGACCAGCTGGCATTGGACAGGGTATTGGACCCTCCTCCTGCACGGCGACAGAATGAGACAGTAGCTGGGGGTGTTGGAAATCATCCCTCCCCCCCTCCTCTTTGTTTTCCCCCTCCTACATATCCAAGAAGCATATCCATACTCGCTATCTTACACCAACACTCTACAAAACAATACTTTGGACCTTTGTGGCCCCCACGCTTTACTTTTACAGGACCGTTGCTGCTGAGAACAAAACCTGTTTCCTTTCAGCCAGTGGACACATCCTTCCATCCTTACAGCTTTGGTGGAGCTTAATGGAAGCTCAGTAGATCTTTGAATCATGAAAACACCAGAGGACCACTGGGAGTTTCCATTTGGAGTTGTATATTAATAGGCTGAAAGACTGCCAGTGAGTGAAGCAAATCTAATTCAACCTGCAGCAGAACATCTGTTAGAATAAATGATACCTCTCCTTTGCCGTTTCATCCATCACATCTAAAGTGCCTTGTGCTTCATCGAACTGTTTACATCCACTCCTCATATCAGATCCATCTGCCAATCCTTGAAACGATTTGTTTGTTTACATTTCCAGGCCTTATAGCTTTCCAAGACATATCTGTTTCATTACTTTCTCCTGTTTGCATGCAAGTAAAAGTTTGAAGTATCTAAGATACGAGGAATGAGACCACCGTAGAGTTCAGTTCCTCACACTTATCCAACCTTAACTCACTGAGACTGTTTATCTGACTCTCAAACGTGGTACACTACTTCCACTGAACAGTTCCATCACCATGTACACACTGCAGTCCAAATGGCGCTACCTAATCATGTTCTTGGGCGTCCAGTTAGTGGTCATGGCTCTTCTTTCTAGAGAGGGCTACCAGAAAAGAGTGTCATATTTTTTCCGGAATTTCCGAAAGCCGGATACTACGACAGGACAAACAGTTGTTGGACGCAACCACACGGATGTTTACGCCAACCTCTCCCTTTTGGGCCCTGCTCTTAATAAAGAGGACATGCCCTACTGCCCCAAGCAGTCTCCTCTGATTGGTGAGTTTGATAGCTCCCTTGGAAGTGTGCTATCAAGTTCCTGATCTGTCTCACTATTGGGAATATCATATCATTATGTTAGTTTTTGAAAATATTTTTTTTTATGAAAAGAAAGAAAAAATAGTAGTGGGTGGGTGTGTGTATATAATCGGTTATGGTCTATTACTGAACCGATACCGAATCGTCCTCGTCTGCATCACGATGAATCGAAGAAACGATTAATTTCGACACCCCTATTATTAAAACAAAGTCAAATGCCTCAACCTCATCCAGTAAATATTCCTGTTCACACTCTTTACTTATTCAGGTGGACCAATTCGTGTCACTTTCCCCTCTGGGCTTACGTTTGCTGAGGTGGAGAGAAAGAATCCACTTGTTGTCCGTGGAGGGCGTTATAGGCCGCCAAACTGTGAGGCTCGCCACCGCACTGCAATAATCATTCCCCACAGAAATAGGGAGCACCACCTCAAGTTCCTCCTCTACTATCTGCATCCCTTCCTACAGCGTCAGCAGCTCAACTATGGCATCTATATCATTCACCAGGTGCGTCTGCAGCCTGTTATTATTGTTGGGATTTAATTAGGTGATGCAGAAATCACTAACTTAAATTTTTCTCTCACTGGAAACAATTTGCTATTCATAAATATTGCTCAGTAGACAGTCTCTGTTCAGTAGACAGTGAGTCTCTCAATGAAATGACAGCAAACGTTGCAAATTTGTCCCTCATAATCATTTTGCTGAGTGTTGCCACTTAGAGGAAGTAAAATAAAAACTTTCTAGTTAAAGGGTTAGTTCACCCAAAAATGAAAAATAGGCTGCGTTTTACTCACCCCCGATGCATCCTAGGTGTATATGACTTTCTTCTTTCAGACGAATCCAGTCGGAGTTATATTAAAAATTGTCTTTGATATTTCAAGCTCTATCGTTGTAATATCGTTGGGTGTTGCATTGCTTCTGTCCAAAAGATGTGAAATAAAAAGCACCTTTCCATAAAAAAAAGTGTCTCACAAGGCTCCGGGGGGGTGAACAAAGGCCTCCTGTAGCGAATCGATGCGTTTTTGTAAGAAAAATATCCATATTCAAAACGTAATAATCACTTGAATCTAGCTTGTGCCAGCAGTTGTACACAGAAGCAGTCCCGGGAGCATGACGTATGGGGTCAGCGTTGTGCATGCGCCGGTGAGTCTCGTGAAAACCATCGTTTGTTTACAGGATCAAAAAAAGCAAAGTTTCCTTACTTTAGCAAAGGAAAACCAGTCTCCTCTTGGCTTATATCGAAATCCTCCGACTTCACCCCCCGGAGCCGTGTGAGACACTTTTTTTTATGGAAGGGTGCTTTTTATTTCACGTCTTTTGGACAGAAGCAATGCAACACCCGATGAGTGCAACGATAGAGCTTGAAAGATCAAAGACAATTTTTAATATAACTCCGACTGGATTCGTCTGAAAGAAGAAAGTCATATACACCTAGGATGCCTCGGGGGTGAGTAAAACGCAGCCTAATTTTTATTTTTGGGTGAACTAACCCTTTAAGCTGCTATTGGTACATTTTCCAGGAAAAACTTAATCACAGGGTTTTCTGAAAAATCTCTGATCTTTCCTCTACTAGATGATTTGTATTTTTGTCATTTGATTCACTCTAGTCAGCAAAGGTCAGATTATCATTCTTACATTAAACCCTAGATTAAACCATACATTGTCAATTTTATTTGGTTGCCAAAGCAAATTTTATTCTCAGTTGGCACCTGGTGGGTGTTAATTTTAGACCGTGCTCTCACAGTTTCACATATTGTACAAAGATGAATTTGTTGCTTAGTTACATATTAAATATGCAGCTCTATTATAGTGCAACTCAACTGTGCCGCCTCCTGTTTCCTGTCAGAGTCAGTTGTAATCACTTTATCCTGTAGATCTAGATGCAAAACTGTACAACTCACTCTGACAGGTCAACCGTCCCCTCCAGCTGATCTCTCATTTTAGTGAACAAAAATTATCTTAATACAACAATGTGCCAAATTCAGACCTGTTTCCCCAGGCTTTATTGTCTGGTTTTATTATTGTTGGCTTCCTGGGTTAATACAGTTTCATGTAGGATTATAGATGTACGGGATGAAATTTCCTTTTGAGTTTTGAGTTGCATTGTTGTTGCTCAGATTTTTTTTTGCTGAATTGTGAAGCTCAATGAGATTGAAATCCTACTTTTATTTGGTCACAGTTTTTGTCCTGTTGTAATTCAATCAGACTCGTATATAAAAATATACATATATAATACTTTGATTCAGCAAGGATGCGTTAAATTGATTAAAAGTATAGTTAACTAAACTATGTAAAACTAAAATCATAAAACATTTTTATTTAGTTCAACTTGATGTCCTAAAATAACTAAAACTAAAACTGAAATAAAAATCAATAACTTGTGTAGACTACTAAAAACTACTAAAAATAACAAAAGCACACAACGAAATTACTAAAACTTTAAGTAAAATTACAATTAAAATATTACAATTAATTATATAAAATATTGAAGGAAAAGAATTCTAAATTTTAACAAAAACTTTAATGGAATGTCAGTCATACTAAAATAACACTTTAAAAGTGACAGTGAAGTGAGATTTTCCATTTTTAAAAATTATTTCAAATAAATGCCGTTTATGGACTTCAAAACGATGCATTACCATGAAAAGAAAATCATCTACTTTCTTATGTTCCTGACTTTGATATTCCCACTTCACGTCAATAGGCCAAGGATTAGACTGTAATCCTTATTAATCTGCTCTGAAAATCCTGACCACATTATAGATTCAGCCCATTTTTATGAGTATAAATGTATATCCTCCTGGGACCCAGGCATAGACTTTTGTCCTCCGTAGAGGACATTATATTTTAGTGAATTTCTCTGAGACCCTACATGCCACAGTTATGTCTGGATGTCCTGTACAGAGCACATTTAGGGCTTTTTAGAGATATCAAATGTTTGGAGGTTTGATCATAAACACACCTTCTCCTTTTTCTTTAAAAATGACTGATATTGACAGAATGATGAAATTTATCACTCTTAGGAAAATATGATAATGTTTTGTAAATATCGTTTAAATCTGGCTAATTTTCAAATTGTTTGTCATAAATAAACATCTCAGAAAAATGTTATGGGGTTTCAAATCGGAATATGACTAGGACAAACGGCATGTTAATCAGGCATTTTGGGGAAACACAACAAATCAATAGGAAAGAAAATATTAGGGATGTAACGATTAACCGCAAGCCGGTCGAAAATCGGTTGAGATGCCAAACAAATCGTGATACAATTGGAGTAGGAGTTTATATGAATGTATCTCTGAGCGGAACTGACTATCTTTAGAAACGTGGTATTTTCTTTTCATCTTGCCTCTGAACAATGCATATTAAAGTAGTAGCAGCTCTGCTTTGTTTACAGCGGTAACCCTGGAAACACTGTATCATTGCTGTTCCATAAGCGCCACCTGCTGTCAGAGAGTGAATCTGCATCTCATTCAGCTCGTCTGCTGTTTCGTTCAGATATGTTTTATGTAGTATAGTTTCACAAAACTAAAGTCAGACCATTCTGTTTTTGCTCTAAATTTCGAAATTATACAGTATAATTTAGATTAAAAACTACTCATGCTGCATGTCTGCTGCATCTTTGTTTGGATCATGATTCAAATCCAGTGGTTGCCTCTCATTTTAAATGGAAAGAGCACAGACAAAGCCTTAGTTTGTTCATAATAAGATATTTCTTTGATTTGTGTAACTTGTTTGATTTGGGGTTTGTTTTAAAATTTCAATTTAGTTTTGCCATATTTCAATTTCACAAAGAAACGTGCAGCAATAGCCTAATAAAACGACACCTTTTCTTCAATCTCATTTTGTTTAAAAAATCGTGAGGAAATCGAATCGTGAAATCAAAATCGTGAATCGAATCGTCAGTTGAGTGAATCGTTACATCCCTAGAGAATATAGATCAATATTCCGATGAAATATGAGATATTCTTATGAAAATGATGCCACGTTATTACTCCCATTATTACACTTCTTTTTTCATTATGGTTTGCCCCAAGGATACATTAATATGCAAATTAGATGCAATGTATGGATATTATATAGAATGGGAATACCAATTTATGGTACAGTAGTAGCCTATATCAAATCATATCTTTCATAACATAGTTGAGAATCATCTTTGTACAAAGTTTGGCTAAATAGCCTGAAACCTAAAAACTGATTGGTGAATGAAAAAATGAAATGTTGTTTTTGCCTATACGTGCCTTTTCATGTCTGTTTTTTTATTAATAACAGTCCTGGCGTCCTCTACAAAGGACATAGAATAAAATATGAATAAATTCTTTATTTTTTTCTCAAAAATGTATTTTCTCCATTTGTTTCTTATGCTCCAACCGATGTAATGACAAAAAACCAACAAATTCTCAAAACTTGTTTTCTGGTTCTCAGGAGGATTTACAGGCTGCACAGCTGAGTTTGTATGCTTTGTTTTATCAGTATTTGTGTAATTGGATTTTATATGGACTATTTTATATTTAGTGTCTTGTTTTTACAGACACTAAATAATAGCTTAAATCTGTATGTTAGGTTTTTATCATTATAAATTGTTCAATAACAATAATGGTCTGTGTGTAGGCTGGTAATTACACCTTTAATCGAGCAAAGCTGATGAACGTGGGATTTCGCGAAGCCATGAGGGAAGAGGACTGGGACTGTCTCTTCTTTCATGACGTGGACCTCATTCCCGAGGACGACCGCAACACCTACATCTGCGACGCTCACCCCAAACATGCTGCCATTGCCATGGACAAATTTGGCTACAAGTCAGTGTTCTGCCCGCTCTCTAGCTGCGTTTAATTAGACTTAATTTGCCTGCATTTCACTTCAACAGTTGCACATAGATTATGCACATATGCATTAGGGCTGCACGATTATGACAAAAATCATAATTGTCAATTATTCCCTTGAAATTGTAATTGCGATTATTAATTACGATTATCACAATTTACATTGAATGATGTTTATACCATTGTTTGATGCAACTGCATGCCGTATTTTTATATGAAAATAAACAAGCTGAAATCTGAAAAACCTTTAGTGTTTTTCTATAGTATTAAGCCTCAAATGTCAAATATACATCGGATTGGTTTCTTCTTTAAATTATAAAAAAAATATGAATGGTATTATAATGTTATACTAAAACTAAAACAATGGAAAACCCTTAACATAACATGTAGAAAGAAAAAACATATCTTAAGCGAGCAGAATAACATAAATGGACTTTGAACGATTAATTGGCGCTTTGAACGATTACGTAATTGTGGCATCCATAATTGTAATCGCGATTAGAAATTCGATTATATTGTGCAGCCCTAATATGCATGATAAACTATCAGATCAATTTACATCACATGTATTTGTGGAGTAAATAAACAATTGTGGAATAAAACGATTTGTAAGCTACCCTTTTATGTACACTAAAAATGTAATATTTTAATGATATTTTTAATTAAATTCCACACAAAATCTATTTATTAAAAGCATTTTAAAAAGTAGCAAAAATAAATGATGGCATAAGAGGTCTCCAAGAATGCATTACTGTGACTTTCAAACAACAAAAAAGTGAAATCTGTAATAAAAACAAACTCATGTAACAATAAAATGCTTATAGTTGAATAAACAGGTGCAAAACAAAAAACAATATGCCACTGAACTAAAGTGATTTAAAAGTATGAATTACTTCACATTTATATTGTTGTGCATTTCTCCTGCCTGTTGTCAATCAGGTTGCCTTATAAGATGTATTTTGGAGGAGTATCGGCTCTGACCCCTGTTCAGTACCTCAAAATGAATGGTTTCCCAAACAGTTACTGGGGCTGGGGTGGTGAGGACGATGACATTGGTGTCCGGTGAGTGAGCACGGGGGATCTTGTGTTTATTTGCTTTGGAGGGGTTGAGTGTGTGCACAGATGATTTGTGTGTGTGTAGATTAATGGAGAGGTCTGTGTGGGAGGACATCTGTCTTTGGGACACAGCTGGCCATGAACCACCTGTCTTTTCTAGCTTCTCTAGTTCAAAGCTAAAGTGTCCACATCTGACAGTGTTACTGTCTGCTTTATAGAGGCGGATTGTGTGGACTGATGTTTGTGAACATTATAGCTGAGTCATGGCTCACAAGCTAGGCCACATGCAAAGGATCGAATAAAAAATATATAAAATGTACTGTATAGTTATGCTGTACAATTAAAAAGAAATTCATATAGGTGACATTTTTTAACTTGAAAAGCATAATTTGCCAAAGACTTGAAATGTTGGCTTGACAAAGCCTTTTTAAAAAGTTTAAAAATAATTTGTATTTAGCTTGTATACATTTGTGTTCAAAAGTTTGAGATCTGTAAGATTTTTTTAACTGTGTTCATCAAAAACACAGTAGCATTGTTAAACGTTATTTCGTTTTAAATGACTGTTTTCTATTTCAATATGTTTTAAAATGCCATTTATTCCTGTGATTGTAAAGCTGAATTTTCAGCAGGCTTTATTACTCCAGCCTTCAGTCTCACATGATCCTTCAGAAATAATTTTAATATGCTAATTTGGTGCTCAAGAAACATTTCTTATCAATAATCAAGGTTGAAAACGGTTGTGCTGCTGATATTTTCGTGGAAACCGGGATATGAATGTCTTCACTTTTGATCAATTTAATGCTTCCTTGCTGAATAAAAGTATTAATTTCTTTGAAAATGAAAAAAAAAAAATTTTTTTATTCAAACTTTTGAATGTTAGTGTATTTTATCACATGTACTAAATTAACTTTTGTGGACCAGAGTGAAAGAACGCCTCACTTCCTAGAATGCATTGCTTGTGCTGAATTTGTCAGAATGTGATGTAGAGGAATTCACCGAATTTTATTCAGATTGAAATTGCAATGCAGCTTCCTGTGAGGTGTGGCCTATTCAATTAAATTGACACTTATGAATTGAAAGGGAACCAGTTCCTCAGATTTATTCCCAACCCAATCCTGAGTCGCCTTCTGCTTTTTTGCAACACTGTCTAACTTACTTCATCTTCTCAGGGTCTCACTTGGAGGAATGCTAATCAGTCGTCCGTCTCTAAAAGTGGGCCGATATAAGATGATCAAACACAAGCACGACAAAGGCAATGAAGTGAATCCCAAAAGGTAGAATCACCTGACAACCATCTGATAAATAGACAACAACTTGTGATGACAGAATGTTTCAGTGTCTTTCTGTAGTCTTTGATTGTGAAATCTGCACATTAACATTCTAAAGGTGCGATCACATTAGCAAAATTTAGTGGGCAAAAATGGTCCATTGCCTTATTTTGTAAAATCACTTACAAACCAAGCAGGTTTCTGTTGGGAAACGCAACAAATCTCAAACTTGTTGCGAAATCTCCATTTGGAAACATTTTGCGAAATTCCCAATTGTGTGGATTCCTATTGAAATGACTGCATTTCGACCGTGGAAATTCACAGAACAGTGTTAAATATGACTGCACCTTAACACATTTTGTCTTTAACATATGATAGCATCATCTGCTAGAACTTCCTCTGTTCAAGCCATTTCCTCTCATGCAGGTTTAACATGTTGGCTAAGACCCGGAAATGTGTCTTTAACATATGATAGCATCATCTGCTAGAACTTCCTCTGTTCAAGCCATTTCCTCTCATGCAGGTTTAACATGTTGGCTAAGACCCGGAAATGTGTCTTTAACATATGATAGCATCATCTGCTAGAACTTCCTCTGTTCAAGCCGTTTCCTCTCATGCAGGTTTAACATGTTGGCTAAGACCCGGCGTACGTGGAAAGAAGACGGTATGAATACGGTGGAGTATGAGATCGTATCCCGGGATTACCAGCCTCTTTACACCAACATCACGGTCAACATTGGCACCGAGGCAGGACTGCACCCGACTAAAAAAAAAGCTGCTTCTTAGCTGACTCCCAGCATTCTTGTGGATCCCAGAGGCACAAGTCTTAGCACCAATGCCGCACTGCCTGCAGACTTCACCCACATGCACATGGCCAGTGAATTCATGGGACATCATGCCTTTACTGCACCACAGACCTTCTGTTTTTCTCTGTAATAGCGGAGCCATCTAGTGATCCCATGATTCTCTGTCCTTTCTCTCTCTCTTTTTCTCCAAAGTTTGACATTCTGATCCTGTACTCACTGGTTCACTTTATAAGTCAGGATGCTGCAGAAACTTCATCAGCTGGTCCATTCACTGACCACTTCACAGACTCAGTAGGAAGGATGTGTTTCCTGACAGACAGACTCTTCATGTATCCTCTGTGCCCATGGGCACCATTGAAAAACCTCTGTTGCCTTAGAATCAAGCTGCATTCTCTCCTTACATTTCTTTCATGATGACTAGAGCGTAGCTTCGGCCGCCCGTGGTTGACGTGTCGCAGTGGGTCAGGCCGACACTTTAGGAGGGGTAAAATTCGTTTTTTTGCCATGTGAGGGAAATAGTGAAGCAGGCCGATCAACTACATGAGCAGCATTGTTTGCTGCACTACTCTGTGAGTCTGGTGCATTTCCTCTTCAGTAAATTAGTACTTTTGATTATGTACTGTATTGCTATCCAGGTGGGTGGAGTGATATTTTGTTATATATCTTCCATTTCGAGTAACTCAGTCAGAACTGGCCTCTTTGGTAGTAATAACCACTCTACATATCCTGATGTTTTTTTATTTTATTCCTGAATTGTCATAATTGCCTTTGGTTATCTTAGTAATAATATTGGCTTTTATAATTAATGCGCTGCCTCTCATTTTCACGAATTACTCAACACATTGTATTTTATCTGCATGATTTTTTTTTTAATGATTGGCTGGTTGTGTGCGGTTTGCTTTGGCTCAGGCAATAGGCTTGTTGAATGTAGCTGTAGTTCTCCTTTTGGTCAGAGAATGTCATATCAGTGAAGAGCGCATCGTGTTGTGTCCATTTGGATGGCTTGGTGAAAAGTACATACTTCGGAAGCCCCTATGTCTTTGTCCCATATTCCCATTTGAGTCCAACATTTGATTATTCAAAGATATTTCCTAGAAATGCTCTTACCTTGTTATCCGAGCTTTTTATAAAGACCTTCAGCCTCATAAAACACAAGCATAAACAGTTTGTAAAACCATTTTTAAGTAAATTGTCCCATTGAATAAAGTGAGCTAAGAACATCTGTAAAAGAATTCTCGCATTGATTCGAATACGCTTAACGTTCGCAAAACCATTTTTACATAGTTGCTTTGAATCAAATGTGCTACATTTGTAAAATCAATCGTATGTAAATTGGTGTAATGAATCAAATGCGCTAACAACTTTGAAACCATTCTTATGCAAATTGTTGCATGAAGTTAAATTAAATGCTAATGTTCGTAAAACCTTTTTTAGATAAATTGTTGAATTTAAATTGAATGCTGTAATATTTGTAAAATCATTCTTGTGTTAATTGGAAGTAATGAATCAAATGCGCAATCAATCGTAATAAACCATACTTGTGTAGGGTGCTGCATTAAATTAAATGCACTATTGCTAACAAACCATTCTTAAATTGTTGCATTGCAGTAAATGCGCCAACATCCATAAACGTGAGCGGTTGCTTTCAGTTGAATGCGCTAATATTTGTAAAACCATTCTTGCATATATTGGTGTAATGAATCAAAATCATTCTTAATGTAAATTGCTGCATTCAATTAATGCTCTACTGCTCATAAACCATTCTTAAGAAAATTGTTGCATTGTCAAACGTGTTAATATTTGTAAAACTATTCTAGAATACATTTACGTTTAATTGTATACGCTAACAATCATAAAACTATTCAATTCAGTGCAGCCTTTTATGTTGGAATGGTTTCGAACAATTTACAAATTGGTTGTTTTGCTTGTTGTTCATGAATGAGACCCATTATTGGCACAGTCTGGAAAAAAATGGTAAATTCTCAAACATTTTAATTTACACCTCTGACTGACACAGATGACAAAAGAGATTGATTTCATATTTAAAAATGCGTTCATGAATTTGGAGAAACATCAGTTCTGAAAATTAGACTGAATCATGGCCTCCACTGGGTAATGTTAACCTTGTATTTGCCATGCCTTGTTCCTGTCTAACTTCTAAACGTCTTCTGCATTGTTCAGTCTCATGGTGAAACGAACTCTCTGACAGTCCAGTCACCAGATACACGGATGCTTCAGACGGATCTGTGCACGTGTGGATACGTGAATCTCAAATACGCGTTTATGATAATGAGAGAACTCGATCATACATTGTTTTTCGAAAGCTGCTGTTCTCTGTGTGAATGTGAAAGGTGGAGGTATTGCTCCCCTCTTTACTAGTGTGTATGCTGTTGGTAGCTTGTGAAGGATCATTTAAAAAAAAATGGTGTTGGGTCATTGAAGCAAGTCATTGGATGTCATTGAGGCAGAGATACCAAAAAATGAATTTTTTTTTTTTTAAAACAAGCATCTTTTCTTTTTCTTTTTGCTTAACAGTAGTAGTCTTTTTTTCTTAATTATGAAAGGTTAAGGTGGTCGTTAATGGTAAGGTTAATTAAATCTGTCCTTTACATAAGTCTGCTGGCTCACAGAGAATATTGCCTGTAATGACTGTAAACACTTTTGATTTATTTTGGGATGTAAAGGTTGACTCGAGATGTTTATTCTTCACATTGAGAATTTATATTTGATAGCTATTCACTTTGCCATCATAGAAGGTACTTTGAAAACTGTTGATCAGCCGTGAATGATATATAATTGATATGTACAGATGACACTACTCAGCACACTACTCAGGTGGGGTGATGGATCTGATGTTTCTAAATGTGCCTTATCTGGCGTCAGTAATCTGGAGTTCTTCAGTGGGCAGTGCTCTGAACACAGGGCATTTGTTTCTCTTTAAGAAGTCTGCACACTACTTAGCGGCCTTATGATGATTTAATAAAACAAATGTTAATGTACTACATGTCTCTTTGTGTTTTGTAACTGGTGTGTTTTTAGAGATTTGTGCAATTCTTATAGCACCTGATTGATTTTGTAATTACAACCAGTTACAGGATGGATTAAACTGCTGCTATAAAACTCTTTACAGCCCTTCAGAAATAAAATAAGAGGTTTGTCTTACAAATTTTGTCAATTCCAAATTACCTTTTAATTTCTGTAAATTTGTGTATATCTGATTGTTTATATCAGCTTAATATGTCATCTGCTTTTTAGATATCATATCGGTAATATTTAGAAGACCCATATCGGTTTACCTTCATAAATGTATTTGGAAACCTTATTGTAATGTGTAACCATTTAACAGTTAAAAAGAGCTAACAGTTTTTCTACAACATTTATTACTCTCAAAGGAACAGTTCACCTGAAAATTCAAATTTGCTGGAAATTGACACCCTCAGGCCATTCAAGATCTAGACAAGTTAATTTCTCCAAATCCGTTCCGATGAAGAAACCTAGCATCACATCACTTGCTCACCAATGGATCCTCTAAATTGAATGGGTGCCGTCAGAATGAGAGTCCTAACAGCTGATAAAAACATCACAGTAATCCACAAGCAATTAACACGACTCCAGTCCATCAGTTAACACATTGTGAAGCAAAAAGCTGTGCTTTTGTAACAATCAAATCCATTAAGACATTTTTTACTTCAAACCATTCCTTCCGACTGAAATGCTGTATGAGTGCATAATCCATAATAATGCTTTCTCCAGTGGAAAAAGTTGTCTGGTCTGAATCAGGAGAGAAACGTACAGATTGAGCAGAGTGTACAACCGAAATACAAAACATTCCTATATATAAAACAGAACTATCTTTTTTGTATCGCAAGTAAATGTAGACATTTGATATAATTTAGATATTTGTACTGGAAAACGAGACAAAAATACAGATATTCTTTGTGTAATGGCAAATTAAGATGACTTTTTCAAGACCTGCATAAATCATCTTTAAATCGATCTTTAAACTTAAACACTGATAGTCATTCTACACAGAGGTTGAATGTACTTTGTGTTGGAGGTACTTTATGAAGGTACATTTAAGATTTTTCACATTTCTAAACAAATAGGTTGATGGATTTTGATGTGAGAGGACAACAATTAAATGGCCTTTGCTAAATTTCTCCAAATCTCTTCTGATGAAAAAACAAGGGCACTGGATGGCCTGAGGGTGAGTCAAATTTCAGCAAATCTTCATTTTTGGGTGAATTGTTCTTTTAAGAGAAATAAATGCTGTTTTATTTTTGGGGGAACTATTTTCTTTAATGCATTAGCTAATATTAACAATTGAGACCTTATACTAATACCTATATTTGAATGAACATTTCAAATGTTTTGTTAAAAAAAAAAACGGTCCAATCAGTCTTTGGACCCTATTGACTTTCATCAAAATATTTTAATATGTGTTCCACAGAATAATGTCGTATAGGCCTGGAAAAGCATGAGGGTGAGTAAATGACAGAGTTTTCATTTTTGGGTGAACTGTCCCTTTAAAACAGTTGTGTAATTAACAACTGTTTGTGCCAAATAGATAAAAAACAAATAGCTGCCAGAATAATCAGACAATGACACAGGTGTGCAAAGAATCTCTTTAATCTTTATTACTCGTTAAACATGACTTATATTAACCAATAAATACGAAAGAGGAAACGGCATGCAGCTGACAGATCGTTGCTGCTATCTTGCACAACACAAGTTAAGGCATTGAAAATTTCCTGACACTGCTGTACCTGGTGTAACAATGATCACAAGAAACCCGGCCGACATCACTACTACTTCACCAAAGCGTACGGTTAATAGGTTGTTTGTCTGATAATAGCGTCATCTACTCGTGCTCACCAGCAGTAAGTCTCTCAGTGTCCGTTTCAGTTTTCACATATGGCTTGATCCACATATGCACTCTAATCCACCTCAGTGTTTCATAAATTACGGATGAGACAACGCTCTCATGTAACAGCTCAATGATCTATTGCAGTGGTTCCCAACCCTGGTCCTGGAGGCACCCCAACACTGCACATGTTGCATGTCTCCTTGGTTCCTGGTGGATCCTGTGCGTATATCTTGATCAAGTGTTTTTGATACGTCCCTAGTGCTTTGCGATGATCGCCAGGATCTTCTTACAAAAAATATTTTGCCGCAAATACAAATCATATCAAATTGACTGTAATTAGCAATTAACATACATAAAAAAGAGAAACTATTCTGAATGAAGTGTGACGTGTAACATTACAGTACTTCGTCTAGATATACCTAATGGGATGTAGACACTAGGATGGGATTCAAGGGTATCAAAAAACAAGTCACTCAGGAAGTATGAAATTCTGTACAACCCCAAGATTGCATATGTTGTCTCATCTCTTCTGTATCTTCATGTCTCTCTCCTAGCCTTCTTCTTTTTGACTGGTTGTTTCGAAGACTCCTTGCCGTCATCCGTTTTTTCTGGCGGAGAAAAGACAGAAACCTGAAATCAGGGTTTCTGCAGGTTTTATGAAGGTGAATGTAAGACTTTTTAAAGACCCTTTCAAGACCACGTAAAGCATATTTAAATAACTTTTCCTGTACCTACTGATCACACTGCAAAAGAGTGATGTTCCATATTACTATTTTTGTCTTGTTTTCCAGTACAAATGTCTGAAGATTCATAAATCGAGATACATTTACTTGAGATGCAAAATGGCATGGGATAAGAAGTCTTGTTTTCTGAGAAATTTATCAAAATGAAGTGAGTGTATGATTAAAACGACAACAAATCTGCTAATGGGGTCAGAAAAAAATCAACTTAATTTAAAAGGGGAAAAAACTATACCCCACTGGCTGAAAACAAGACTTTGTATCTTCATTTTAAATGTATCTTGAAATAGGGATGTTTAGATATTTGTACTGGAAAACAAGCCAAAAACATTTTTGAAATGCATGCAACATTTAATGCCATGATGCCTTTATGAATTTAAGATTTTCTAATCCGATTTAAGACCTTTTAAATGCCTTAATTTGTGTAAGGGTGAATTAAGACCTAAGACCTGCAGAAACCCTGTGAAATGATGAATGATCTTACAACTTAATGTAACTTAATATGGTGGTTGAATGTACTTTGTGTTGGTCCAGGAGTGGATTTGTCAGTCGGCTCAGGTCCAGTCATTCTCTGTTGCATCAGTACCGAAGCTGATGGTACAGCACGTGCCGTGTCGTCTACACGTGGCTGTCAAGAAGTCGACACAAATTTAGGATCTCGTTTTATTGCTAATAACCAGATGAATGTTGAAAAACGGATCTCACCCTTGCTGTGGCAGGTGAGATGTTTCCCGCTGCACTCTGTGCCAGTGTTGCAACGCTCGGGTCTCTCTCTGCCTTCTCCTGCGGCTGAATGCATGTATCCTGCATTGGTTTGAAGTAACAGATCAGTTATTTGGAATTGATTTCTGGCAATATCCTCACCTGAGCAGAAGGTACTGCATCCTCCACCTTCTTCTTCTTTTTCTTCTTCTTAGCTCTACCGCTACCAGGGGCACCTGCTTCGTCTTTATCTTTCTCGTTATCAGACTCCTGTAGAATGGAAAGAAATTAAATGTAGGCAGTTTTCATTCTTGGTCTGACTACTCAAAGGAATGAGAATCAGATGGAACTTAAAATCATAGTTCACCAAAAATGAAACTTCTGTCATCATTTACTCACCCTCATGTTGTTCCAAACCTGTATGAATTGCTTTCAACTGTTGAACAAAAAAGAAGATGGTTTGAAGAATGTGGGTAAGCAAACAGCTGACGGTAGCCATTGACCATAGTATTGGGGAGAGGGGGGGACCCATGGAAGTCAATGGCTACCATTTAGTTTCCAACATTCTTCAAATTATCTTATTTTGTGTTCCACAGAAAAAAGTCAGCTATACAGGAGAAAGATGACAATTTTCAATTTTGGGTGGACTATCCCTCTATTTCAAAGTTTTGCTTGTTCACAGTCCTCTGATGTCAGTTAATGGTCACATGACATGCAGGTAAACCAAATATTTCATCTTTTTTTTATTTTATTTTTTTATAAGCGTTTCATTTATTTTAATTTTAAATTTTTATTATATAGCTTTTCCTCAACAGCTTGGTAAACCCTAAACTATGTTTGTTTGTAGTGTAAAAAAATGTCAATTTACTGTCCTATGCGTTTTTCTTTGCAACGCCCAATCTTTCTCTAATCAATCAATATCAATGTAGAAACAGAACCTGGATTCTCAACCCAGGTCAGAACCTGATTTCAATTTGCTCTCATTATATATTCAGAGAGGTAAAAAAGAGTGTGTTTCACAGGCCCACAGCTGCACGACGGACTGACCTGTGCCACTTCTGGGACCGGCGGCTCTATCGGCGCTGCGCTGACAGGCTGTTGCTCAACATAGTTCCCCCACTCCTCTGACGGAGCGTTCCAGTCACACAATAGATCTGCAGATGTGCTGTCTTAGGAACACAACAGCAACTCTTAGTAAGTATGTGATTCTAAATTTGAACAGGTTTTGGGCTTGTTTAGATTTTCTTACTTATTCCGGACCACTCATCATCCACTGGCACAGAAGGCTGAGCACTCCAACTCAGGTCAGGCACTGCAAACACAGAGAGCTACATGTTTTTTTCTTCAATGATCTAGTTGTTTTTATAACATTTTGGGGTGTTTAAACTGAGATAGTGATAACTGAACTGGTGAGACTGAACATTATTAAGTGGTACAGAGAAACCTGGCTGAATATGAGCAAATCTAACTTAGTTATGCATTCATTTCAATTCATGAATTAATTACCAGCAGTCAAGCCACTGAATGAAACTGAATTGTGAGGTCCATCCACAATAGTCCACGAACCTGTTTTACGAAAACAAAAATTATTTTGCATTATTTATGCTCACCAAGACTGCATTTATTTGATCACAAAAAATACAATAAAACCAGTAATATTTTGAAATATTATTACAAATTTAAACGACTTTTCTGTTTTAATATATTTTAAAATGTAATTTATTCTTGTGATGGCAAAGCTGAATTCTAGCAGTCATTACTCCAGTCTTCAGTGTCACATGATCCTTCAGAAATCATTCTAATATGCTGATTTGCTGCTTAGGGAACATTTCTTATTATTATCAATGTTGAAAACGGTTGTGCTGCTGTTTGTAATTTTTTTTTCAAGATTCTTTGATGAATAAAATGCTAAAAAAAAAAAAAAAACATTTATTTGAAATAGAAATATTTTGTACCATAATAAATGTCTTTACTGTCACTTTTGATTAATGCATATTTGCTGAATAAAAGTATTCATTATTATTAAATATTAAACAAACTTCCATCTCCTGCATGAGCACCAAGGCATACATTGAGCATGTGCCCCAACTAGACTATCATTTTAATATGAAAGATATAATAAGAGATATATTAAAAGAAGAACTTGTGATTATTGAAACTTTTTTTCAGTACCTTCGATATCTTGGGGCCAGACAGAGGGCTCACTAGTCTGACGCTCAGTAGGGACAGTCATGCTGGTCCAGCTCTCTGCCTGAACACTGGCCATCTGAGGAGGAAGCTGCAGGCCCTGATCGCTCCAGCCAGAACTGTTAACAGCCAGCACTTCCTGCCAACACGGCATAACTACAAGACCACGGAAGGCATGTTCAATATCAGTGCAAAAAATATTTCTTCAACTCAATCTGTTAACATTGAAAATTAACCAATTACCTTGAGGAACAACAGTGTCTCGTACAAAACTTGCTTCAATTTCAGGTGGGTCGACTACAAAGGAGGAAAAAATAATCATTTTGATTCCCCTATTATATCCACCTGTAATGTATAATAAAAATTATTAACAGAGTAAACAGCTGTAAACATACCCTCCACTTCTCTTTGGACTGGAGGTGTAGAAACAGTGGTGGTGATGGTGGTTTCTGGTTCTTCTGGGGTGGTCTGGACTTCCTCCATGGTACTAATGGCACTCGAAGCCGCGGTTGCTACTGGGCTGCCTGACTCATCACCTGGAGTCTTGTCCTTCCGCCGCTGCTGTCGTTTCTCACGGTTACTGACCTTGGTCTCCCAGGTACCTGACAGATACAATTACCATGTTCTGACCACTCTATGCAAATAAACTATGTGCTGAGTCAAAGCTATTTTTTAAGCAAATACTTTCTGTTATGATAACGAAACACACACAAATATATTCTCTCTATATACAGTACATCTATATGTGAAGCAAAATAAATTAACTAAAACAAATCATGGGATTCATCTTAATCAAAACATACCTTCATCTGGTTCTTTGCCATCAACAGATGTAGAGGATTTTTTCTCTTTTGCTGGAGGCTTTGCCTTTTTCTTATTCTTCTTTGCCTAAAACCATCAGGAGCATCAGGTTGAGTGAATAACAGTATTTGGGGGTGAACTATTCTTTTAAAACTACAGTAAATGTCAAAATAAATGAACCTTGTCAGTCTTCACTTCTGGTAGTTCTTGACCGTCTTCCAATTTGGCCTCTACCTGAAATTCAACAGCAAGTTCGTTCCTCTGACCTTTCTGTCAAACATTTAGAAAACTGATGACTTTTAAAAAGTCAATGGGAAGTAATGAATGCACAATTATGCAATGTGTATGTAAATGCCTGTTTTAAATAGAACTGGGATGCCTGAATGTCAACTGGTATATCGATCGTGAACGAATCGGAGTTTTTTTTAATGAATCTTTTAAGTGAACGACTCGTTTTGTTCATGAGTTTGAAGCGCGTGACACTTTTTCTGTCCGCGAACCAATAGCATTCGAGTGCGGGTTGTGAAACGCAATCTCATTGGTTGGACCATTGGTACTGAATAAATACGCCCTTCACTGAACCAGTCGGCGTTTTGAACAAAACGGACAATCTTGAACAAACGAAACGTATCCTTATAAGGTGTGAAAACCGTGTATGATGTTAAACACTCTTTCTGGAGCTTTATATAGACTTGTAGACACGAAATTGTAATAATTTTAATAATACGTTTCTTAACGAATCGTTTGAGAAATGATTCAATGACTCGCTTGTCTCCACCTACAGGCGTCGCGATGCAACACGCAGTAAACGAATCTGATGGTGAATCTTTGTGGTGAACAAAAGAATCGAGTCACTTAGATGAATCGCCTCTAAAGCAAACCTTCTCAGCATTCTTCTTTCTGTTCCTTCTTCTGGGCTCATCTGCCTTCTTCACCGTTTGCGCTGGACCCGTGTTGTCGGCTCCTGTCTCTGTCCCTGAAAGTCTTTTTGATAAACCACGACAGACCGAGACCCATAAAATCAGAATGAGAACTAGACCGCCCCAGGCCGATAAAAGGAGCAGCCATGGGGCGCACAAATCAGGATTCAAGCCTAAGTCTATTCCCAGCTCAGACTTCAGATAGACGAGGCCGGTCGACAGGGTTTCTCGGACATATCCCGTTATCTGCTCCACATGCTGTGAAGCGATCTCTTGCCAACCCGGTGCCATTGCAACCTATCGTGCGGGCACCGGCATGCAACCATTCACAAAAACAACAGTTTGTGATAATTACACGGGAAAATACATAGCTGTGCCACCGACTACGGCTGCTATTGCTGCTTCTATTCTAACACTGGCTGAAGTTGCATGAACTGACTCGCAGACAAGCTCCCCTTATTGGACTGGAGAGCAACTGAGTTTACTTGCAGTCTCTTGAAATAGACTAGATCAGTGATTCTCAACCAGGGGTAAGCTATGTGTACCCCAGAGCAGGATTTCTAAACTTTTTGTTATATGCCAGTGGCCCCCAAATATGACAAGGAAACACTTTCCTGAAAAAAAAAAAAAAAAATTTTTCTACTCACCACTACAGTAGAAACATAACCAGATTTCCTAAAGGGGTCATATGATGTTGCTAAAAATAACATTATTTTGTGTATTTGGTGTAATGAAATGTTTATGCGGTTTAAAACATGATATCTGTCAAGTTTATAGAAAGCAGAATGAATTAGTAATGTTATTTATTTTATTCATATATAATAATTTTATTTAGTTTCCATTTTCCACATTATTTTTTTCATTGCCTGCTTACTGCGAAAAATAAAACATGTAGAAATGTATTACAAATTTTCTACAAAAAACTTAAACTTTCAACAATCACTAATTGTGATTAGTCTCATGATTTCTGAAAGCAGAATAAAATAGTAATGATGTCAAGTTCTGTAATTTCTTTATTTATTTTGGAAGATTTTTTTCTCTAAACTTTTCCACAGACTCACTATCACTGCTGGGGCCACAATAAAGTGATCTCATGATTCTCATGAATCTCATGATTTCTGTCTAGTCTACAGAAAGCAGAATGAAATAACAATAATGTCAATTTATGTTTTTTATTTTTTATTTTATTTATAAAGACAATGGGCACAATAAAGAATAAACAACATTGAATGCAAATAGAAATTATAGCATAATAATCATATCTGTTGTCTGCAATACAGGA